ATACGGAACGCGGTTCTGCAAATTGGATTGGAGATATCGGGTGAGTTGATGGTTTGATCGGAGGGACAATGTTTCGTGCAGTATTGAGGATGACTATTCCTTCAGCGTAGCGTAGCTGCAGTCCGATATTGTAACATTGCCGAGAGCTACCGTCATCTTTCTTCTCATTCCCTACTTATACTTCTTTTCATGGAAGTATGCAGTGGTTGCTTGTGCAATTCCTTCTTCTTTCGAATTTTTATTTGTGTCAACCCTATCTCGGGCGACGCTTTGTTACTTGGGACTGTGCGTGTGTTCTATCTTGGGTTGTCATTCACTACACGTTGTACCTTCGGATAACGCCGACATTAATCATGCTTCATTTCTGGTACGTTCGATGGAGGAATATAATTCCACTTATTAATTGGGAGAGTCCCCGAGACTAATGGTATACTAGAAACAGTGTCTCGTTCTTTAAGTCGTAATATGTAGTGCACATATCTAAGGTTGGCTGCACACTGCTTTAGCGAACAGGATGTCACACAATCGAACAAATGATTAAAAACATTCTGTACATCATTCTGTGACGGACAGACCAAGGGCAATGGAGCAGATTACTAAACGTCACCCGGTTACGACGGGTATGGTTGGAGACGAATATCGACAGGTAGTGTACTGCGGATTGTTGCGGGCCCGTGAAATATACGTGGTACGATCACTCTCATTACCGCGTCGGAAAAGAACACAGTGACACTCAAATATGAAACCTGTTGCGACGGTCTAAGCAGCCTACCGACTACTTCCGATCGGCTTCTCGGAACCCGAATTGTTATCAGAGGAATAGAATGAATGGCTGATTCAAATGATCTAAATGCATCCCGATTGTCCTCATCAAGTAAAATCACGTATGGTCTAACAATGTATTCTTGGTTTTTCGTTCTTTCACACAATCCGAAACACTCGGTAAGTCAGATTCGTGTATCGATTTGCCACAATTCGTGAGGTGAGTTTTGATGATTGTTTTCGAGATAGTTGGTGATTGTTGTTTTCCGTATGGATTTTAGTGACAATATATCCCAGAGGACGCCCCGTTTCAATCAATCTTATGTACAGTTGCGAAACCTCAGAGATCTTGTTGGTGTTCTTATGTTCTCCAATTTATCCCGGGAAAAGTCCATCTGGAGTATTCTTTATATTTCTATTCAAATTTATAGATTCGATTGAAATGATAGTTTGGGTAGTAACTGTACTCACATGGTCCTGGTCTCCTGAAGTCAGAGCCCCTGATGCTGGCAAGCATGTGAGCTGTCCCTTATCTAGGACTTCCTATGTCCATAGCAGTATTGTAAACGGTTGCAGTTCTGACTGGGATAGAGAGGTTAGGAATCCGATCGACTTCGTCGAAGGCGTGATCGATGTATTCAGATGCAAAGAACCGCTGTGTAACTTGATTCCATTTATTGAATGGGCACTTCATAAGTGATGTTACGCACATTTGTCTTTCGTGATTTTATCTGGATTTACAAGAAAACACGCGAGGATTTTCGTGTATGTAAATTCATCCATAGATTGCGTTGATATGTTTCAGTGGGGTTTTTGGTTCCCTAATCATTACTTTCTTGCCGCCATATTTTACAGCTCATGGATGGAATCCAAAAAACTCCAGATATACTGGCCATAACATTGAAGGATGTTCCTTTGTTTGACGTGAATTCTATGCTGGGTGCCCAATTTATGCTCAATGTGGATGAGGCTACGTTTCCGTTGATTAATTATGAAGAAATGCTCCTGCAAATGAACCGTTCGATTTTCAGTTTTGGTCTGAAATCAATGCCGTCCGGTCAATTTATTTTCATGCGATTGGGTGACCTCGATGTTCTCAGGTGTATTCGAGAAAAAATGCCCCGCTAAAAGTGCACATTTCTCATCAGGCTATTGAATATATTCATCTTGGGTCGGCGAATTCTCATCCTTTCTCATATTACTCGGAATAATGACTCCCGCCAATCTTATTTATCGATACTGTTTGCTCGTCTTGAGTCTCTAACTTTTTGGCTGAATTGCAACAAACAGTACAGTTTCATTCTTATTCCTGTCGTATTTCTCATTCGATTGCTTAGTTACTTCGGTTAGTAGAATAGCCACTCGTGATTTGGAGTGGTAGTTGAACAGGTTAGGTATCGCGTTGTGCCATGCTTCATAGCCCGTCGGTAGAGTTATGTTTATCACCTACAACGGATGAGCGACGCGTTCACGAATTCCATGGGTCGTGCTTATCGCAACGTCTCCCAGAGCGAGATCTGATTAAGAACAAACTCGGTACACGAGTGGGTAGTTTTTATTTGACCTGCAGTGATAAGGTGTCCAGAGGGCAAAGCGCGGGATACAACTCACCGGAAATTGTACCATATTCCAGTTCATATGCGATCTCGTAATAGAGGGCAATACAACAGCAAATAGGGCCTTTACATGAATCAAGAGAATAGCGTTGAAAAGTCAAGATCGTGTTATTACATAGCTCTCCCCCTAGAAGGTTAGTGAAGAGCAGCAAACCTTCAAAAAGTAAAATATACGCGATGCGTGTGTAGGTGAATGCGCGTGGACGTGGATGAGAGAGAAAGGTCCAACGAAAGTCAGTCTGTTGCAGCGGATGTGAGCACAGGTGCCTGTGGGTGAATGATGTCCAATGGTTGACAGAGCAAGAACAGTCACTGAGTCCACGGTCAAGAACGAGAGGTTTCCTCTTGGATGATATGAGAAGTGTTGATCTCGTCGCAAGTGCGCCGAAGGAGAGGTATGGTGAAGGACTGCAGTCACAGCAAACGGTTACGTGAATGCAGGACACTCGTTCAACCAATCAAATGGACTATTACGCTCTATAAAACATGATCTAATTCTATCAATAAATATAAGCATTTGCTGCTATCAATTCCGCGTGTATTTCACTGATGTCCGCAGTTTGGATTGGAAGCAATTCAATTCTGAGCAGTACAATACCGGTTCTCGTATTCCTAAATTCAATACTATTCTCATTACCACAATTTGGCGCCGCGCAATGGAGACTCCTGCGATTGGACCATTGAACCTGCACGGAAGCCCATCAGAAATTGAAGAGTGGGTAGAACGCTTCCAATACTGGTGCAGCATCCGGAACGGAGGAATGCAAAATCAAACGGTCCTATTCTTGACGTTGGGCGGCCGAGAGCTGTATTCCCTGGTGAAGAATCTATCGTTCCCGAATGTTCCAGCTGAATTGTCGTTCGAGAGGTTGAAATCCCCATTACTGGACCACATTATCCCAGTGGATTTTCAGGCCACTGAACGGGCCAAATTCAACTCAATGATCAGAGCTGCCAACATGCCGTGCCCTGAATTCATTCTTCAATTGACTAAACAGGCGTCGAAATGCAACTATGGTGACCGATTGGAAGAACAACTTTGTGACTGTCTTATTGCTGGAATCAACAACATCTCATAACAACGTAGGATGTTAGAAAAGAAAGATATGATACATCTATCGAGCCAATGATTACATCTTCTCCATCCTCATATGTCCTTCATGCAATTCTTCTATTACCGTCTTCCGTGGTGGCGGTGGGATTACCAATCGATCGGCGTGACATAATACACCATCCAATTGTACTGACAACTCCTCTCGATGAGCAAAGAATTGAGGA